AATTTTCAAACATGGGATAAAAGTGCTACGTGTAGTATACTTTAGGTGTGTTCACTTGTCCTGAGAAAATAAAGACAGTAAGAATTTTAAAAACTAATTTGGTACTAAAATGTTAAATTTTAAAGTTTCATAAAATTATGAAAGATGTATTAATTATACATTGATTTTTCAACTAATCAGAGGCGCAACTACAGCTAACAGTCCTCTAAAAATAATATATATATAGGAAATGATATTTTTGACCACTTTAATACTCCGACTTAAAATCGACTTATGTAAAAATATGACTGTGTTATTATAAAATTTCAACTTAAATAAGTATCATTACTATTGCTGTTTGTTTTCATAAAATTCGTCAATATTTTTTTTCTTTTTCTTTATATACTCAGTTTTTCATAACCCCTTTCATTATCTTTTCAGTTTTCCATAACCGTATCATATTTTTTTTCGTTTTCACAATATCTTTCATGGTACTCAAATAGAAGACTTTGATTGGTACAAAATCTAGAACAAAAACTCTAATATTTTTCAATTTTTCAATGCTTTGCAATATTTTTGTTTCTAAAGTTGCATAGATTTTTAGTTTTGATCATTATAACAATGAACAAATGCCTATCTAATTATATATAGGAGATACAATCTTAAGTATCTATGTGTTAAAGATTGAGATGAAATGTGATATATATATAAAACATATATATAATTTGATATACATGGTGATTGAAACTTTAGTAGCTAACAAAGATATTATATTAAGATTAAACCTAAAAAATGGACTACATCTTTTTAAATAGTTAATTATCTTATATTTTAAAATGCGTCCCATTATATTTGACACATAAGTAGCCACATAGACTCAAAATAATAAATTTTTATTTATCGAATTAAATAACAATACTCATATACATACATACATATATATATATATATATATATATATATAGACACACACACACACACACAGAGACGACGCACCTGAAGTCAAACTCACCAGCAATAAGTTGACAATTTTACCGGAAACTACACTAGCCTATTCCTAATTAACCCATGATTAATTAGTATATAAAAATGACCCTATTAAATAATTTTTAAATTAAAATTACATTTTCTCGAGCGTTCGAAAAAACTGTTACACTATTATATGTTTTTTTAAATTAACATTTTCTATTAATCAATGTGAAAAAAAAAATTCAAACGCTCCAGAAAATATTTTCTATTATTCAGCGTGAAAAAAGTCGCTAAAAAGAAAAAAAATCCGCCTGAAAAAAGAAAGAAAGAAAGAAAAAGGCTGCCAGTGAGACCGCACATACATTTGTGTCCGAGTTTACAATTGCATTTGAGAATATATGTCCAGCATATTACAAATATTTATATTGATTTTTTTAAAGAAAAATTACAGTTACATACAGTTAGGAGCCTTAAATAATAAAATTGTTTATTTTAAAAGATAAGTTTTTACATTGGTTGAATTAAGTAAAATAATTACATATGTATAAATAACTATTATTTAGGTGCAAAATGCCCTCCAAACACTTATTCTAAAATACTAAAAATTATTCCTCTAAAATCAAATACTTTCCTTAAATAATTTATTTACTTGAAAAATTTAAGAAAATAAAATCTTTCCTTTAACTTTGAATCAAATTTTTGCAACTTTCATTTATGTACATACACACGCGATAAGTACTTATACAAATAATAAAAAAGATTCAAGATTTTATTTTTTTTATTTTTGTAATATATACACCATATGCAAAAATGTCTAGTTGAAAGTCAACTCAAAAATTTTGTTTTTCTAAATTTTATGAATGAAAGAATTATTTAGTTTAGGAAGGATATTTTAATATTTTCAAATAAGAGTTTGAAGGATATTTTGGACATAAATAATAGTTATTTATGCATATGTAATTATTTTACCTAACTCGACTAATTTGAAAAATTAACTTTAAAAACAGACCGATTTGTTATTTAAGGTTCCTATATATACTTAAGTGTAGTTTTTCCTTTTTTTAATATCCATATATGTAATCTAAAACACACACATTTATATATGAAAAATGGTTCTTGCACGAATAGTTACAGTGAATTGTTAGACCTACTTTTCTAATTAGCCAATTATGCAACAAATAAGAAAATAGAACCCTCACTTAGTTGTATTTGATATAAATAGTAGATTAAAAATTATTTAATTAGATAAATTCACTACAAGTATTTAGTGTGAGTATCACTACTCTTTATATATACAGACACACACACGGGGAAGGAGACTCTATTAAATATTATAGTTGAATTTTTCAATTGTCTAATTATGATATTACATGAGTGTTATGCTATGTTGGGTTTGATTTGGTATTGAAAATCTTTGATTGAATTGTAGGATTCAAATTGCCGATTTGGAATATCTGGGATTTCAATACATTCTCAATCGCAAATTGATTTGTAACATCCAAACAATGAATTAAAAGTTTAAACTAAATTTGTTCTAATTTAAAATCCAAAGCACTAACTTGTTGCTCCCAATCATAACATATAGGTTATTAAAAAATAATGATATGGAGACTGAAGAATTAACCCCGAATAAGTACCGAATAAGTACTTGTTGAAGCTTTCTTTCCTCTAATTCCGAAACACAACAATAGACTTGCAACTATAGTATAGGAAAAAGACGTTCCATATTAATTTGGAGACTTCTTTTCGGTTCCCCTATCATTACTCGTTATTAAATGATGTTTAGTTACATTTTTATTGTTTGGGAGATGATATTCACATTCCAATTTTCTCCAGTGGCACTACATTTATCTTTTTTTTTTTATAAAAGGAAATGACAAGAAGGTCCTTGAATTCATTAATATACTATCCCTTAATTTATAATGTCATAACTACCATTTATATAACTTTAACATTTTTTTTTACCTTCTTTACTTTATTTACTAGTTTTTTTTTTTTTTTGGGTTTTATCGGTTTTATCAAAAGAGATAATTTATTCAATTTAGATAAAAAAATATAATCCTTTTCTTTTCATACCTTTTTTTTTTTCATGTCAAAAGAGATTATTTTTTCAATGGTTACTTTCTATTTTTTCGGTTGGGTCAAAATAGTCAATTTATTCAACATAAATTTTTATTTCTTGGTCCCATAAAAATAAAAATTGTTCAATTTATTTTTTGTCTGGTCAAAGGAGACCTAAAATAATAAAGATTAGAGATAAGGAGAAGAAATCTAAAAGGACAATTTTGTCATTTAAAAAGTAATAATTATTTACGTGTAAAGTTAGGATTAAAATTGTCATTTCATTTAAGATTGTATTGCAAACGTTGAAAAGTGGAATGCGGATATCAACTCCCTTTTTTATTTAGTACTCCCTCCATCGGGATATCGACTCCCTTTTTTATTTAGCACTCCCTCCATCCCATTGCCCATCTAGAAAATTTTGCTTCACTACCATTTTTTATTTTTGAGTCATTTGAGGTCATTTTTAGTCATATTCCTTTTATATACTTATATACTACCTATATCCCATGTTAGATATTTACTTCAATAACTTTGACTCATAAAAGTTGTGAGTCAAAGTTTTTGAAGAGGACAATTAATATGAAACGAAGGTAGTATATTTTGTTTGAACAATCCTTAGGTTGTCACTAGTGAGAATCTACACCATTCTCACTATTGATGTAAACTAATAATAAATGAATATGTCATTTTTAATTATTAAATCAAATATAATGGGTTAGATACTCACTTATCAAATTGGAAATATCTCTTATTTGATAATTAAAATAAAATATGTCCATTTATGATTGGTTTATATCAACGGTGAATATGGTGTAAATCCTCGTAAGGAGCTAAGAATCATTTCATTTAGTTTAGTGGCAATTCAAAATTCAAAGGATTCTAACGTAGGCCCGGTCTATGCTGCATATATGCCTTTCCTATTTGTTTGGTATTGATTTTTAAGGATTTTTATTTTAGTGGAAAAGCACAAGATTGAGTCCTGTCCAAGAAATATTTTCATTGGAAACAACCTTATAAAATGCACATTAACAACCATGTAAAATAATTTCCAAAAATCCATTGAACTTCCTTTTATGGATTTGGCAAGTTCTAAAAATTTCATTGAAAACAATAAAATACACCGTAACAACCATATAAAATATAAAATTCTAAATTTTCTTTAACATTTCCATTGGTGATTTTGATCATTGAGCGCCAATATGCTCTCTTTCTCTATATTATATATATATATATATATATACAAATATAACCAGAAGATAGCTCTTCATCCCTCAAACCTAATGCAAAATTCGTTTTGATTGATAATCCACCAATGGCCAAGTTTAGCCTTGTTTTGCTTTTCATCGTTTCCTTTCTCACCATTGCACAGTGCCGTTCCACTAATGATGAGGGCAGAAAGGCTAGTCATCTTTTTGTTCTTTGGGAGTTGCTTAGTACTTATTTACACATAATATGATAGTTGTAGATATATATATATATATATATACACACGTGTATACATATATACCCGTGAAGAGGAATACATACTAGCTATGTGAACATTCAAGCATGATCATACCTTACCTGTCATACATGGATGCGTGCGTCTCTCTCTATAGATATGAAGATCCTTTGAAAAATTTTAAGTTTTTATAAATACATGATCACACAAAAGTATATATATATATAAGCTTATATGTACTTGCGTACATATATGAAGACCTTTTGAAATTTTTTATTTTTACTTTTGCATATTAATTCATTATCTGTTATAACATGCATATATATTATCTGTCTTATTATCTTATATACTAATCCATAATATTGATGAATATTGATATGTCTGCTTGTCCATTAGGCATCTCTGGTTACATCTATAATCAAGTTACTTTTAGCATACATGAATATTTAATATGTTTTATTTTATTTTATTTTTCACTTTTCCGGTAAATTTCATGAAGAATTAATATGGCTTCCTAACATATTATTGAACATACTAATTGCAGGTTTACATTGTGTACATGGGATCCCTTCCTGACAGGGAATATTCACCTTCCACTCACCACCTTGGTTTGCTTCAACAAGCTTATGGGGGCAAGTATGTATATGTTTGTGAATATATATATATATATATATTATATAGCATTAATCAGCAATTGCAATTCATCTTGCTTTTATATATCTCTATCCAGTTTTGCACCTAAATCCTTGGTTAGAAGCTACAAAAGGAGTTTCAATGGATTTGCAGCCCTGCTTAGTGATAAAGAGCGAGAGAAGTTGGCTAGTGAGTAAATCCTATTACTTATTGTCAATTTCGAAACAAATTCTTTATCAGGCATTGTAATTTGGTGATAGATTCATAATATTTTTCGAAACAAATTTAATTGTGTTACGTAGGCTTGGAAGGAGTAGAGTCAGTTTTTCCAAGTAGAGAACTCCAACTTCAGACTACAAGATCCTGGGACTTCATGGGCTTCTCCAAGAATGTTAAGAGAAATCATATGACTGAGAGTAATGTCATCATTGGTGTCATTGATACCGGAATCTGGCCTGAATCACCTAGTTTCAACGACAATGGCTTCGGTCCTCCTCCAAGGAAATGGAAGGGTGCTTGTGAAGGAGGCAGAAATTTTACTTGCAACAAGTATCTTTCTCTCTCATTACAACATTTTTTTTTTTTTTCCTTTTTTTACTTTTTAATTTTTAAAATTTAATTTTTTTTTTTAAAAAATATGATTAGACTGTAGTATGTCATCCACAGTCACAAATGTCCACCATGAAACTCCAACCCTCACATCCCCTTAGAAGGAGGAGCGGTTGTATGAGCTAAACTTGAATACGTACTGAATGCTAATCATTTTACAGCAAGATAATTGGAGCTCGGCATTACAACACAAACCCAGATCCAGCATTAAAATCTTCAAAAGTAGATTCTGCACGGGACACTTTGGGTCATGGGACCCATACGGCCTCAACAGCAGCCGGAAACGCCGTAGACGGCGCGAGCTTCTATGGATTGGCGCAAGGGACTGCAAGAGGAGGGGTCCCCTCGGCCAGGATTGCTGCATACAAAGTGTGCGGTCCCACTAGTTGCTATGAAGATGACATTTTGGCAGCCTTTGATGATGCTATTGCTGATGGGGTTGACATCCTCACTGTTTCAATAGGAGGATCGGATCCAGTTGAAATGTTCAAAGATGCCGTTGCAATTGGTGCTTTTCACGCCATGGAGAAAGGAATACTAACTTTTAATGCTGCTGGTAATTCTGGTCCCGATCTAGCAACAACTACTAGCGTCGCGCCATGGATGCTTAGTGTGGCAGCCAGCTCTACCGATCGCCACATGATTAGCAGGGTTGTTCTTGGCAACAGAGCATCATTAACTGTATGTATTTGTTTTTGGTTTTTGCTATATATATCACTACGTTAGGGGTTAAATTGTTGCATATATGACAACAATTTTCTATTTCCAGAGAACTGAAAATAAAAAAATTGTCTAGTAGTTTTTGTTTTTTTCTTGAGAACTATTTTTAGAGAACTGAACAAAGCTGGCCCTTAATATTTTTTAGTTTAACTAGGAACTTGGGTTCTAACATATTTGATATCAACAGGGTATTGCAATTAATTCGTTTGGATTAATGAAAAGAATGATGTTTCCTCTGGTATATGGAAAAGATGCTACAAGTAATTGCAGTGAAGAGGGTGCACGGTAATATCTGCTCCCTATGCCATTGTTGCCTCAAATTTGGAAAACATAAAAATATTGTTACATTTCAGGTTGTGTATGGAGGGTTGTTTAGACAATAGACTTGTGAAAGGAAAGATTGTGGTATGCGATGGTGTTATGGGAGTTGCTGAAGCTATTAGAGCAGGTGCCCTTGGCTCAATCGCTTTGGGTGATGATTTTGTAGAAGATGTTGCACAAAATTTCCCCTTACCTGCATCAGTATTGAATGAACAAAACTATAATTTGCTCCTATCCTACTATAATTCCACAAGGTAATTATGATTTATTTGGAGCCCATTTTTTTTTTTTCAATCCTTGAGATGGTACTAAATTACCAATCTATTGTTCTTATTTTAGTAAACCTCAAGCATACATATTGAAAAGTGAAGCTACAATTGACCCTTCTGCTCCTCTAGTCGTTTCTTTCTCTTCACGAGGGCCAAACCGAATCATACCACAAATATTGAAGGTAAATACACTTTTATATTGAGCTTGCTTGGTTTTTAGTTCTCAAGAACTCGGAAAACAGTCATTTCACTTGCTCATTCACTTGAACTGCTTGATGATCACGTCACAGCCCGATATATCTGCCCCAGGAGTTGATATCTTGGCTGCATATTCACCCTTTGCTCCGCCTTCAAATTATTTAAATGATAAGAGATCTACCCTATACAATATGGTATCTGGAACATCCATGGCCTGCCCTCATGTTGCTGGCGCAGCCGCTTATCTTAAGTCATTGCATCCTCGATGGTCTCCTTCCGCCATCAAATCTGCTCTTATGACTACAGGTAATATAGTAACACAAAACAAACAAAAAAAAAAAAAAACTGTTTTTAAACAAAACATGCTTTCACAGATTTTGTAGGATTTTCTAATTTTCAGTTCTCGATAAACTGGACTAACCAAACGCCTTTTCTTTATAGCTTGGACTATGAATTCCACCACAAATAAAGATGGTGAATTGTCTTACGGAGCGGGACATATCAACCCGATAAAAGCTGCAGATCCTGGACTAGTTTATGAGGCCTTTAGAGATGACTACATAAAAATGCTTTGTGATATGGGTTATGATATGAAGATGATCAGAACAATAACAGGGGATATGAGTAGTTGTCCAAAGGGACATAAAGGGTCACCGAAGGATCTCAACTACCCTTCAATGGCAAGTCAAGTTGACGAATACAAATCTTTTACTCTGAGGTTTCCTAGAACTGTCACAAACGTTGGGCGTGCTAATTCCACTTACAAAGCAAAAGTCACAATGGCGGATTCGAAGATTCGAGTTGGTGTGAGGCCTAGTGTTCTCTCTTTCGAGGCATTGTATGAGAAGAAATCTTTTGTTGTCACAGTTGTTTCTCCTCCTGGAGAAGGAGTGCATGGACTGATGTCTGGTTCGCTGGTGTGGTCCGATGGCACTCATGTGGTGCGAAGCCCCATTGTTGCTTACACACCTATACGTACATCAGTATAATTAAGTACAATTATTATTAGCATTTCATCTTATTAGTTTCAAACTCTCTTGTAACCATGATCTATTCAATTTTAATGACATTCCATAATTGAATTCTTATTAGCATGTTTGATACTGTTTTCTCATATCACCTTCTTCATCTTGCTCTAGTAGTACCACATACTAGTATACTCCATTCCAAATGCTTCCTGTTCCTCGAGCTTAATTTGCAAATTTTCTGGAGCCCAGTTCAAATATATCTTAATGGAGTTGGTTGTGCGGTTTGTATATTCAGTTCAAATTCATTAAATATACCAGCTGAATTTGTAAGATTATTTATTAATTGCTCCATACCATCTGGGGGAATCTGAGAGGCTGTAGGATCATCGTCAGCTTCATGATCCAACCAAAGGCCAGCAACCTCCTACCTAAACTAAAGCCTCTTTCTTTTTGAGTGTGAATGTGTGATCTAGGCTTGATTATCTGAACGCTATTATGTGATAATCTAATTAAGCAGATATGGCTTGATTATCTGAACACTATATTATGTAAAAGGGTAATTAAATAAATACTGTATAATATTATATTATTTGGTCAATTTATAAACTACTTTTTGTGATAATTAATTATTAAAGTAGTATTTTCCTATTTGTTTCTTACTTTGATGGAAAGTATAGTTAGACTTATCAGTTTTTGTTTGGTTAGCTGAAAAGTTAGAAAAGGAAGGAAAAATAATTTTTTTAATTTTGTTTCTTTTTGATGGAAAGTATAGTTAGACTTATCAGTTTTTGTTTGGTTAGCTGAAAAGTTAGAAAAGAAAGGAAATATAATTTTTTTAATTTTGTTTAGAGTTTGGATAAAAAGAAAGAGAAACCTAATGAAAAATTTAGTTTTCGCATCGAGTATTTTCTTTTAAAAATTTAATTTAGTTTCCGCATTAAGTATTTTCCCTCAAAAATTTTCCACCAAAAAACACGCGCCTATTTATTTGCACTTCATACAATTATATACACAGAATATCAATGATGATTGGGTAAAATTGCTCAAAATAGATTCTGTTTCTAAATAGAATTTTTTATTTTTTTAATTGTCTGTTCTATGTTACAATTCTAGCAACTCATAATCTGTGTGTGTGTATATATACATATTATATGGTGAAATATTTAATTTTTCTTTCAAACAGTATTATTGCCTCTTCATCTCTAATTTTTTTTATATATTTTTTAATTTGTTTATCTAAACTAATAATTAGTTTTACTTAAGAAAATATTATGAAACCTTATTCTAAATATAAATTATAGAAATAAATATAAACAATTATATATTTGAATTAATTAATCCTTCATTCTACTTCATAAGGGTAGTTTTGGTATGCATAGTCACTTTCTTTTCACTTTCATGCTATCCAAACTAACAAACTAATATTTTTCTATAATTTTCTTGGACAAATTTTCATACTAACCAAATAAATGCTAACTAATTTATTTTCTTTTCATTTACTTCACTTTTCTTTCATTTTCACTTTCTTTTCTTTAAGTTAATGAAACGAAAATTGATTTTCTAATATGTATTTGGTTAGGATGAAATTTTCTTCAAGAAAATTGTAGGAAAATATTATATTATAGTTTGGATACCTAAATTACCTTTATTTTATAAAATAATAAAATAATAAAGAATTAGTAATAAAATATATTAAAAAATGATAAAATTTTCAATTAATTTAGACCTTTTGAATTACTATTATTCATATATGATGAAAAACTATTAGGAATGGAAGTCAAGTTAATTAAAAATTTATTAATGATTAAGTTGTTAGTCGACTCTAATTCTTTGAAACCTAGTAAAAAATTATTGTTGTTTCCAAATATAAAATGAAGTTGTTGGGTAAAATAATATCAATGAAGTTGTTGGGTAAAATATGAATACTAAATAAAAAGACATGTTTTCACGGGAAAATAAAATTTTCCCGTGTTTTGTGAAAGAAACATTTTAGAAAAAAATAAAGAATTACAAGAATCCTAATTTTCTAAAACTTTTTTTGCTTTTCTATTTAACCAAACTATAAAAAAGTTTTAAAAATTTGTATTTCCTTTCTTTTCCAGTTGATTCTATCTAACCAAATGAAACCTAAAGAAAAATTGGTCTTCTCCATGCCTGTATCCCATCAATTATGTACACTAATGAAACAATATGTATAATGTTTATGTGTGTAAAAGGCTAATAGAGAAATATCAGTTTTCACGCTTCTAAAATTACAATTTTGCACGTTATTTGTTAAGTTTGATATCATGGATCGAGGTATTTATATTTAACTATTTATTTATACATTATTGACATGTAAAAATAATGAAGTTCAATTTACTAGGATTATGACTTGTGTTTAATGTTCTTACACAAATGTTATTGTATTTTTACACGAATAATTATAGTTTACAAAAGTCAACCTCAATCTTGATTTTAAAGATTATTTACTAAATAAGTTGATCCCTAATATTAAATTTGGCTGGTGTAAGCTCTAAACACAGTTAAGAAGCACAACATAAACCTACATTGACTTGAATAAGTTCAAATCGATTCTGAACAAATATTATTATTATCAAATAAGAACAGGCCGAGGTTGAGTTCAGCTTTTCAAGATCGTCCCCACAAACGAGAGCTTGTAATGTTTTGGTATAATATATTTAGATTAACCAACAGAAAGTATCAAGTGGACGTGCCGGAGTGGTTATCGGGCATGACTAGAAATCATGTGGGCTCTGCCCGCGCAGGTTCGAATCCTGCCGTCCACGGTTTTCTCTTTTTGTCACTAGGTCAAGCCTAGCCTCGGCCCACAGTAGAACTAGTTCACTAGATTGAACTCTTTTTAGTAGTAGGTGGTAATTTGAAAGTCTTCTACTTTAGTAATTATTTTTCTTTTTCCACCCTCTTATTATTCTTTAAAGTTCTACTTTAGTCACTTTTCTTTTTACGCACACATTTCTTATTTTTCTCATTATTTTTTCTTCGTTTTTTTTAATCCATTAAAGTGAACATTTTCAACAATGTAGACTTAATCATTACAATTTATTTTATATTAATATTAAACATTAAATAAAATATCCTTTTGAACTTTAACATGGTGAGAAAGATCTGAAAGATAGAAGGGTGGGAGCTTCCAATCTTCACACGCATTTGTAGGGTGCATTTTTTTTTTTTTAATTCTTTTTCCTTTTTTGTCACACTTTTACTTTTATATATTATTCCATTCAAATTTCTTTCAAATTTTCGATAATAAAATTACACAATGAGTGTCTGATTGCGTTTTTTACCCATTTTTTTTTTTTTAAAATAAATTATTACTTAAACCAACTTTAAGTAACCACACATTCAATTAACTCACATGAGAACAAAATTTGGGAAGTTAAAATTTATAAGACCATGTTAAATAACAAAATTCAAACAAATCAAAAGTTCAAGCACAATTTAAAAAATTTACATCCACCAAAATGTGTTCCATTATCCATATCTGATATTATTGGTGTGTCTTTAAACACATTTGAATGGTCGAATCCCAATTCTTTCAGTGTTTAGGGAGTATATGTATTAGTTCATCAATAGTGCAACAGTAATGATATGCATGACATTTATATAAAAAATAATACACTTGTATAATATATTATATCGTGTTGTAAAATTATAACACAATTAAGTTACATTATCAACCTAAAACATTAAAAGTGTGTTAACAATGTAAAATTGTTGAATTAATTATAAAATAAAATAAAAATAAACATAAGACTAAAATGACATGTACTAGATAGTCTATTTTTTATATTTAGAAGAGTCCGTGAATTGCTTTGGACGGGAGAGAGAGGGCATATCCGAATAAATAAGGTTGAGTGACGCGACAACCATTATCTTATCTAGTTATCTTCTTATCGCCAAAAGGAAAAGAAAAAAATGGTCTTTGCTTCTCTCTTGCAAAAAAACGGGTCCTTCTATATTTGTATAATATTATTTTATGAATGATGGGGAAGGTATTTCCTATACACCAAAAACGCCAAATACATTATTGTAACTTATTTATTTGTTTAAAAATTTAAATTATTAGATAATACTTTATTTTCACTTATATATATTCAATCACTTTTTTTTATCATCATTTGATGTGAGACAGATAACTCTTGTTACATTCTCCTTTATCTAAACTCTTAACGCTCTTGTTGTGGAACGTAACATCAGATCAAGAATTGAATCTAAATTTGATACTAACTGTAATGGGTGGGCATCAGATCAAGAATTGAATCTGATCAAGAATTGAATTTAAATTTAATACTAACGTAACGAGTGGGCGTTTATCTATTTATTTAAAAAATTAAATTATTAAATAATATTATATACCCACATATTAATACTCAATCACTTTCTCATTTAAATTCCTTGCAACAAGATGCGGAGTACTGAACGTTACCAACTGACACGTGGCCTTACAGAACTATTCCCACTTGGTTCCACGTGGCACCTACCTCCTTAACTTCCACGGAAAAAGAGGATGTGAATTCAGTGTCGGAATGGAAGATTCAGTGTTCTGCGGCATGATAATTAATGGCTGTGATTGAAACACACGCAACGCAACTCTTGAGTACATCACAGCTCTTTGTTGTTGTACAGTTGATGAGGCTGTTTTGATAATTCAAAATGTTGTGTTTTTATTTTTATTCAAAATAAAAATAATATTTTTATTGTGGAGTTTGTTTAATAATAATTAAAAATATTTTTAATAAAGTAAAATTTGTTATAAGATTTTAAAAGCAAAACATAAAAATATATTTAATAAAAAGGTTTTTTAAATTTTAAAAATATAATAATTAGTTAAAAAAGATTAAAAATTTACTGTATATAATGTTCATCATCAGAGTGCGAAAATATTTGGACCACAATTTATAAAGCGTTTTGGTCTATACGAAACAAATCATCATTGTCCTACAAATGTTGTACAACCAGGGACGAGCCAGTATTTGGGCTGAGAGGGGAACAATCCTTGACTGTGCACTTATATATATACAGAGGCTAATAACAAAACATTTTGTATATTACAAAAATATATATAATAATATTTTGTGCTATTATAAGAAAGTATATATATGAAATTAAAAAGAAAAAAAAAAAAAAGTCAGGGGCACAGCTGCCCCTGTGGGCCTTAGCTTCCGTTCCCGTGTACAACACAAAATTTTGATTATTTATGTAACATAATCTTTGACTTGTTTATACACCTATGTATACAAAGGTTAATAAGTAATAACAAACATTTTGTATATTACAAAAAATATATATGGTATTTTGTGCTATTATAAGAAAGTATATATATGAAATTAAAAAAAAGAAAAGAAAAGTCAGGGGACAGCTAACATTATTAAATGAAGAAATTAATGCATTTATAATTTTTTTGCATCATTAAATTAAAATTATTTGCATTGGAGAGAAACACGGAAAAGACACGGAAAAAAGGATTGAAAACAAATCCAATATGGGTAACCAAATCTGAATAAAAGAGGTAAGAAAAGAAAATCAAATCCAAGAGGGACACTTTTCTTCCTACTCCCACGTGGGTGTCACGTGCAATTCTTTGTTAGTAGTAGACTCTATAAAATAGTCGTGTGATTTGTGAAGACGAGTCTTATTTGAGTAAACCTGATCAATCGTATGTGATCTTCACGTGCTCTGTTTCTGTTCTGCTTTACTACGGCTCTGTTTATCCCTGCAAATCTTATCTACCTCTCGTTTTTTTTTCCTCAATTTGGTTCTTTGTAAAAGTCGAAGAGTTCCTAATAGAGGTAGTTTTGTTTGTTTGTTGGTTGCCTTTTGTGAAAGGCAAAAGGAAACAGAGAAATGGAAAATAAGGAGCAACCAAAATCTTCTTCTTCATCATCATTTTCATCATTTACTGCTGATCTCTTTGGAGACCAAGAACCCACATCGCCTTCATCCTCCGCCGGAATTTTTGCTTCGATTTTTCCACCGCCGTCGACGGTATGCTTTTCTAATGCCATTTTGTTAAATGGGTTTGCTTTGTTTTGTTCTTGTTCTTCTTCTGTTCACTAGGAGTTGATTTTATATGTGGTATGTCATTGTTCGCGTGTTTTACTTTTCTTTTATAGCAAGTAACTGATTAAGATTCAAACCCTTATACGTGATGTCTAGAATTTTGTAATCTATGAAGGGTTTTGCTCAATTCGGTTATTATGTGTGTGAGAGAGAGATAGAGGGTTGATTTTATGTGTCAAGAACATTTTTTTTGCAATTGGAATTTTTTTGTTTTGTTTTTTTCTTTTCTTTTCCGGCTATTATTGATAATTTTCACATGCTCTTACAATGATGAAGCTAAGTAGGGTTTTGATAGGCACGAGTAATGGAGACTTGAAGAATGTTCAAATATTAGAGGCAGTGCATGATTCTCGATAATATTCTGTTTTCCAGAACTGAGAACAGACAAAAGTTGAAAAGATCATTGCTTGATTGATAGTTTTCTCACAATTATATGAAAACTAAGTTAAATAAAGATTGAATTCACCAATGGGCATTGGCCCAGATGTTATGATCAATGTTCGAACCATGTTATTGAAAATGTTTTTGAAAACTGAACCAATTCTACTACAATCACATACTCCATTTCTCTATTTGAAATATTGTAATGACATACAGAGGAGACATTACTAGTCATATTCCCTAACTAATTTGATTATGTGGTGGCTCTAATATTTGCCCGTGGGGATAAAATTGTAGTACAGGTTTCATATGGCCGGTCACAAATACTGAGGGTAGAGCTAAGCTGATGTTTGATATAACGGAAAATTAAGCTAGTACTTAAAGACTGTAAGCAACTGAATTTTTAGTACTAAAAAATTAACGTAAACTTGTAAATTACTTATAAATGACCTTTCATGTATGACATTCAACATTTACTGAAATCAGGTCTAGTATTCAGAACTCAAGACTTGTTTAGAGGAAAAAAAAGAAAAAGAAAAAGAGGTTAAGTATATAACTAATTGTGAATTAACATATGTAATCACTGTATTAATCGAGCTTTCAAACAGCTAATGTCTCCATTGGTGTTTAATTCAACCAAATGAGGTTACAGAAAACTTGATCATCGGATTTCAATTACAATATATGGATTTTTTTTGCTTCTTGGCTTCAGGTTCTGAGAAGGAACCCTATAAGCTCAAGTATGACTGAATCTTTGCTAAATCAGTCCTCAGGGAATCAGGTGTGGAACACCAAACAAGGAACTCCAGGTATTATTGTGATTGATATATTTTTCCTTTTTTTTCCCTTTTGCTGTCATTTTACTTGATCATTGAGCAACAGTAATCTTGATTAATAAATATTTGTTAACACAAAAATTCACTGTCAATCAAACCTATTTTTCATCTAAGGACAGAGCCTCTTTTTCCGAATGGATAATTGCAGAATCTATTATACAGATTCTTCCTCCTATGTTAGTTCTTATAAATATTATTTAACAAATTTTATATACATGAAAGATCATATTGACACTGATCTATCTTCCCACGTAGGAGAATCATATTGATTTTTTCACAAATTATTGGCCTTTCTGTTCAAATTCATCATTGTCCCATTGTCTTTGTTAGGTTCTTTCATGCTATATATAATCTAGTTTGTAAGCTCTTAAAGTCTTCTTTTCCTTAGTTTTTATTTATGCGCATAGTGTCTCTGCACTGGTACCTCTATCTGGAGGAAACACTTCACACGACTTCTATTCATTCACTAAGCAGCAATTCCTGAGAATTACTTCTTCTTTTATTGCTTCTTTTATCTGCTGGAATTTTGAGCTATATTTGTTTACTCATGGTGTGTAATTATTTGTTCTTGTTAATTCTGAGAATTTTTTATCGTCAAAATCAAATATTTTGGAGAATAATGCCCCAATTCGACATTCTTGTCAGACAATATGGCTAAGAATGGCGAAGGTGCAAGCAATAGCCTACCCAACAAAGACAGGAGTTTAAATTTTCAGGAAAGACTAGAACCATGTCCTCTAAGTTCATCTATCTACTACGGTGGGCTAGAAGATATGTATGTGCTTTCCTCAAGTTCTCAAATCCCAGGATCACAGCCCATAGTGAGTCTTGAATGTTTGAAGAAGCTTTGTGTCTCATAATGTAACAACTTGAGCATGATTAGTTGATGAAATGTAACAGAATTTTTTTCAATGAATTTGTGAATATAATAGTTCAAGAAAGCTGCGGGAGATGATGATCCCAATGGAAACAATCAAAACAGTGCTTGTCGGGGAAATTGGTGGCAAGGTATAGTTACTGAAATAAATCTAAAGAGTATGATATATTTTGGAGTACAAATGTAGACTATACTAACATATAAGAATTTCTGGCTTCTTTTTCTGCAGGGTCGCTTTACTATTAAGAGTTTCGCTCCCCAGGCATGTGAATTCTCCATATAATCACCAAGGTAAGTTAAAAAAATTATTGTTCAGAATCCTTGTATTTCATTGGTACGTGCGACCAAAATGTCGGTGCTATTTTTCTATATCATTTTCCCTTAAATTAAGGCATTGTCACATTTTAGGGTAAGATCTATATTTCCAAGCATCAAAGTGGTCAACTGGCTCTTTTATTAGTGTAGATTTTGTACGTCATTGACCTTCCAACAATTAATTTTCTTCAATGGCAAATAAAAGTTTTGAAATTTTGCCCCTTGCGGTATTTACTTGCTTTCAAAGATTGTTCTGGTTGGCATATGTAGTACTACATTTTGTCCAGATAGTTTAAGATTCTTGAAGTGTAAATTGCTTCTGCCTTTTCTCTTGGAATCTAGATAAGTCCTTCCAGATTGAAAAGCGATGAATTTGTAACAGTTTGGAATTAGTTTGTTCCTTTTATTGTTCTTATGGTTGGGTGGGTGGAAAGGGGTTGCTCTTACTGTTCCATTTTTCCCATAAGATATGGCTGGGTGGGTGGAAGGAAGGTAGACGGTGGTAGAGACCCTAGTATCCATAAAAGTCCTGTAAATTATTGTAAGCACCAATGATTTATCTCAATTAGCTTGAGGTGATTTATTCAAAGTTTTCTTTTTTGTAAGTAAATTGTTTTCATTTGTAAATACAAGTATAACGAGTTTCTGTTATTTTTGTTTGTTTCTTGAATTAATTGTTTGATTTATTGTTTATTTCTGTGCTGAATCTTGCAGGAATTCATAAAGTTTTGGAAGCCGTTTGAATTGCCTTCCATTTTTTTTTTTTTTGTGGGATTTTGATACGGTTTAGGTAGCCGGGGGTTTTTGTCATGGGTTCTTCCAGGCACACTACACAACCTTGATGTGAACTGTTTTTTTTTTTGGGTCTTTGTTTTGTTTTTCTTTCTTTTTCCGAGGATTTTTGAGACTCTGTAGCGCTTGTTACAATTATCTAATAAACTATTATATGGAGTTAAAAATCTGCCCTCATTTTCTTATCAGCCACTAATGCATTTCTTCAGAGTTTAACAATGGGAATACTAGGTGTGTCGTAAATTGCTCTGTTATATGATATCCAACTATTTACACTAATGTTGCGTTTGGGAGTACTCCAAATCAAAATTTGGACTGAAATTCCTCCAATTTTGTTCTCAAATGGAATGTTATTTGTTGCCAACATTCAAGCTATGTTCGAATTTAATACTTGAGGGTAGCTGTACCACTAAAATTAGTGGCCACTAAGCATCTGAAGATCACATAAATCTGGTAAATTGATGGCTAGCTAATGATTATTGAACTACTTCTAAAACCTAGGGTGATTTCTGAATAAATATGTAGTGCAGACAATATATTGTGAATGCTTTAAATTATAGAGAAATATATTGTGAATGCTTTAAATTATAGAGATAATGTTTTTTTGGAAGTTTAATAGAGATGAGATCTATATTTGGATGTTATATGGTATAAAACTAAGCAATTCTACCTTCAAACTAGCAACCTGGGATACAGTGTGTATAAATGGTTATATACACAAAAGCATATTGGTTCTGCTTCCACTTTCGCTTCCGGAAGCCCTAATCTATTGGCCGATTGCCACCAATCAAGCTTCTCTCTCACATGTCACAACTATACTTGGCCCCCAAAAGGCAGATTCATGTACACTGAACCGTCAATTTTTCCATTTAGATGAATGAATAAAAGGCAGATTCATGTACACTGAACCGCCATTTAGATGAATGTATAATACTAAAATGGCAAAGTCCAAGAAGTGCTTTGAACTGAATCTATTCAATCCGAGTCGATGAAGTGCGGGATTTGCACCTCATGATGATCTTGCAATTTTAACCGTATGACGGTTTGTATTGACAGTAGTCATTGCTGTCTTCCCCGTTATTTGATGCGATACAAAGGAATAGTCTTTCATAGGCAGCTGCCATTTTGGTGGCGGTGAACAACTCCATTCCTCTTTCCCTAGCTGCCTTACCTTTCTTCTCTACATTCTCTCTTCCATCTTCCCATATCCCATGAAGTGCTTTCTTCAGTGAAGCTACTGTAGGCGAAAACGTGTACCCCATTTGCGTGCCAACGATTACAGAGCCTGTAATGCTGGCAAGCCTCGTAGCCATTACTGGCTTGCCGGAAAGTATTGCTTCTAGCAAAGTGTGGTCTAATCCCTGAGCTCGAACAGTTGGATTTACAAATATATCTATAGCATTATAAAATCTAGACAGTTGAGCCTGGCCTAATGGCCCCAAAACCAATACGTTAGCTCCAAGATCTTTGTATCTAGCACCCCATGGACCATCTCCAGCAACCAGAACTACTACATTTTCCCGAAATGTAGAATTTTCCTGGAAAATCTGCTTCAGAGATTCAAACATCAATGGGTGTCCTTTGTCCTTAACCAACCTCCCAGCCATCCCCAAAACCAAGGACCTATATTCTGGAATGCCAAACTTCAGCTTAAAGTCCTTGCCCTTGGCAGCATCCGGCTTGAAAATCTCCTCATCTACACCATTGAGGATGACATGAACTCGTTCTTCCGGGATCATATAGATCCTTTTCAGGACATCGCCAGCATGATCACTGGTAGCAACATGGTGAGCATAATTTGGGAAAAACTTCAACTCCTCCACAACCTTCAAAACTCTTTCAGTCAGTGCATATGCCCGAGCTTCTTCAGGTGCTCGCAGAAGTTCTTGAATGATGTCAGTGTGTATGGTTTCATACGCGATTCCATGCCAACTAACAGCAAGATTAGACACATTTCTTGATCTAGTATGCATAAGCCCTACACTTTCGCTATGGACCACATCAAATGGTTTTCCGGTTGAGTTTTGGGATTGAAATTGCTTCCAGACCAAAGATTGGTCTAAATAACCAGCAGCTGTTGGTTTGGAGAGATGAAAATAGATATTGCTCATTGGGTATTTAGGGAAAGATGAATTTAAGGAAGAAGTGGTGAAGATGTGGAGCTCATGTCCTTGTTTAGCAAGGGCAAGGTGGAGTGTCAAGGCATGCCTTTCAAGCCCCCCTGCTTGATATCTATTCGGCCATTTCTTGACGAAAACCGCGATTTTAAGGAGTTTTGGAGGTGGTCTTGAGGGAAAGGAAAGATGGTTCCATGCAGAAGGAAATGAAAGGAGATCGAAGGGCTGGTTTTGCTTTTGCACTGTCAATTGAACACCGGAATAACAGGGGATGGAGCAATTAGACCAGTAGAGGAATGAGATGGATGAGAAAGCAGAGATAACAAGAAGAATATAGCATGAACCGCGAAAACTAAACATGGTAGTCCGATCCCTACCCATGGCAATGCACAAAGCAAGTTATCAGGATTACAAGAATTAGATCTTCTGAAAACCTTACAAACAACTAATAGATGTAAGGCTAAAACCTTTCAAGCTTTTTCACAAACATAATTATTCTGAAACACGGAAAAAAATCATCCGCTTATCAAATTCTCTATCGAGTAATAAAAAAGATTCAACAGAAGACTCGATTTTTCTTTGCCTGGGTTGGATTTTGAAGGGCCTTACACATGGGTTTGAACTAAATCAAAAGAAACAAATCCTAGAATATGGCAAAAATACTAAACTATGTTTCAGCAGCAACAAGCTTTGTTGACTTCAAGGATTAATATAGGCAGTTTAGATAACAATCTGGTTATTGTAAGTAAAAATTGAAAGCGCCCCGGCCACATCCACTGACAACACCAAAAAGATAATGCAAAACAAACACTAAACAATGTCAACCATTCCCAAGACTAAATATAAAATACTGCACTAGCTCCAAAATGATGTACCAAATCAACGTTATTTTATCAATTTGTGTTTAAAATAATGTTTTGGGATTGAAAGTAAATACTTTTATTATGTTTGAAAGTATTGAATTTGTAGTTTGGAATTGAGATTGAAAGAAATTTAGTTAAAATTTTGAATTAAATTTCCTATCATTCCAAATCCAAAGCACCTTTTGGTGCTCCCAACATATATTCAATTGCATCAAATTAAAATTGGAGAAATTTTTTAGGTCATGTTTGACTACATGGAATTGAAGAAAATTTTAATTCAATTTTTTTTTCTTTAGTTACTTTGCTCCAATTCTACCAATTTTAATTCCAAAACTCCAATTTCATACTACTGAACATAGCCTTAGTTTAAAATAAATTTCAATTTCATTGTGCATGTAACAAAACATAGCAATATACATTTAAATTTCCATGTTAAACCAATTTAAAACCAATTATAAAATTCACAAGCATTTTTGGTGCCTTGCATCATCAAGCCAACCTAAGAAGATAATTTGGGGCAGATCAATGTATGTGTGGAGAGAGATGGATCAACATTTTTTTTGGCAAGTGGAGATGATTAACATTTTTTTTTGGGTAAGTCAGATGTCAGACAAAATATTAACATAAAGAGAGTCGATCAATAAAGCTAACAAATTGAATTTGAATCATAGATCTTATGACAGTAGAAAAAAGCGCAGAAGGTTGCAAAACGTACGCCGTTGCCGGGGATCGAACCCGGGTCACCCGCGTGACAGGCGGGAATACTCACCACTATACTACAACGACCTGTTGATGTCTGGGCTTTGTCTTTTAAATACATAACATATAGCTAAATACTATGATTTTTAAAAATCTAAATTTAAATTTAAAGAATGATTATAGAAGTTGCGGAAAGTCATGTTTTATGGTTGATTTAAGTAGTTATTCCAAATTGGTAAGCCCTTTATTGCATTACTTTTAGATTTACTAATGTAAAAAATTAAAAATAAAATTTTGAGTGTCTCTCACATTTTCCTAAAGATATAGTATGAATAATAATAAGATTCTATTCATTTCTATATATAAATAATATAAGACTGCATTTAAAATTTTGCATGTCACTTGACACTTAGATAAATTAAAATTAGTGATTTCATATTACACAGAGTTTTTGCACAAGTTGGATAAATTTTGTAACATAGAGAGAGGTCAACCACATAAACGATTTATAGAGGGTGAAAACTGAATTTAATCTGCTGGTAGTCTACCAGAGCCAATATACATTACAATATTCATGAGTTCATTGCTCAAACTATTCTTTCCATCATAGTTATTTACTTGCAATCACAAAACACACTATTCACACACTATTCACTTGTGGAAGATAATTTGAATATAAAATAAATAAAAGAACTATACTGAAGGCCTAGATCAAGGCATGTAGTCTACATATTTGAGTCTCTTGCCATGAAAAGAGGAAGAAAAAAATATACTATATATTAAAAATCTTAAAAAAACATAAATAAACAAGAGAGAGAAGAAAATGAAAGAAAACAAAAAATAAAAACTAGAAAAAAAATATTGAGCTTTTTAGAAAAAAATATTGAGCTTTTCAGAAAAAAAAAAATAAAAACTAGATATATAATTTGAAAATAGAGGGATGATATCATATTTGCACAAAAATCTCACTACTTTTCCATTAATTTATTATAATATATAATAATGATAAGATTGTTGAAGGAAGTTTGACCTTGATGTAAATAGCTAAAATTTCTTCTGTTTTATATAATTATCAATCAAATAAAAAGTTATTTTATGTATCAATCCTTACATCGCCTACTACTGGTGGGGTGATAGCTAGTTTTGGTATGTTGGGATATCATTATTGCCGAACCAAATGACTACACTGCATTTGTGGGTGAAAGAGTAATTGAACAAACATTGCATAAAACAATACCTAAGGTTCACAAGGGCCGATTTTACCTTTTTTTCAAATTTCAAACATAACTTTGCTAAAACTTAAAATATAAAACTCAATCATATGTTGTAACTTGTTGAAAATGGTAATCAAAGCTAAACAAATTAATTGAGGGATACCTGCTCTTAATTTTTACTCTTATCCAAAACCTTTCCACCTCATACTTTGGTTAGTGGCTGAGTATTAAACATTATTCACGATTGATTTTTTTTTATTTTTTATTTTTTATTTTTTGTAATTGATCTCAGAAATTCAAGATAAGTACCCACGCAAAATTTTCTACCATCACTTTACGGCACAAATATCCGAAAGTTCATACATAAAAAAATCACAAATATCCGAAAGTTCATACATAAAAAAATCAGAAATCCAAGATAAGGACCCAATAACAGTTGGGCAACAATTCTTTTACAACATTGTCACTCCCTCACCCTTTCATCGACTTTGACTTGTCACACAAGGAGGCCCCAACCCTTTTTATAAAAGCATCATCCTTCCTCACACTCACCCAAATGCACAATCAATGGCTAAAATTTGATTCTAGAACATTCCTCTAAAATATCTCAAATATTTACAATTCTAACCCTCTACACTTCTAAAATCATTTGTAATCTCCATATAATAAAAACTTTTTAGAATCTTCCATTACTCTATAACAGTCCGCATTTTTCTACTCAAGTGTGGGAGACTTTACTTGCTTAAAAAAAAAATAATAATAAATAAATAAATTTGGTGTAGGAGACTTTGAAACCCAACTCTCTACATATGTTAAATAGACACTGTATAAAATCCTTCTCAGCTCTCACGGGTGTCACAATCTCTTTGCATATTGGCGTTGGTACAACCAACTTCACCTCAGCAAGAAACCAACAAACGAAAGACACATATTGACTCCATTGAACTCACTAAATACGTTATTACAGACCAGAAAATGAGTTCAGCATTCAAACACACCGTTCTTGCCCTTTCCCCATCCTCTACAAATGCTCCCTGCTCCAAGCTATTATAGGACTCAATTGCTATTCCATGACAAAAGAAGATACTATGGATTGCTATTCATTGTAAACTACCTACACTGGATATCAAGTGCATGTCAAGGCTCGATTCAAGGCTCTGTCAATTATGCTCATCTAAACCAGAGACTCGTTCTCACCTCTTCTTCGCATGTGAATTCATCTCTCACACCTATTTGGGGGTTCATACAAGACAAATATCGATTCTGTACAAGGAGTGATAAATTAATGGAGTCAATTCGTGAATGCAACTCAACATTGGATCAACACCACCCCTAGAATTCAGCATTCCTAGTCTATGGTATATGGCAAGAGAAAAACAATAGAATTTACAGGAACTCACCTTCATCACAGTCAGCCATCCTGAAACTTGTGCCAAATTCCATCGCTGGAACTTGTGATCTTTGAAAAATTAATCACTCTCTAACCCTAAGAGGTAGGCTCAAATGGGTAAAAACTTAATCATCGAGTCTCAGAAAGTATCAGGGTCTAAGGTCTGAATCATCTTAGATGCAAACAATTTCTTGAGGGGTGTAAGTATCAACTAGAAAAAAATATCACTGTTATGGCAACTGAATAGTCTCAATCAAACTACAAATCGTCCACTTCCAATGTCACAAAACTGAATGAATTAGGGTGATAAATGTCAAATAACATATGCCCTCCTTCAGAGTTTAAGCTAGAGGGGTGAAAATCACTTCCAGTCACATAGTGTACCATTTCCACCATTTTTGGAATAAGTGGAGGAGAATTGGCTACATCAATTAAAAATCTTGAGCAACTAAATTTTTACCACCTTTGTATTTTATATATAAAAGTTTTAAATATTGTATTATATATATATAAACACACTTAAATATTGTATCCAAAATACCTTGACTTCTTTCAAAATGTGGTCTTCTTCCTTCTCTCTCTAAAAGCTTCATCAGCTTCCATTAATGGACTCTTGATGAGCGCTGAAAAGTGCGCATTTAAACCCCTTAAGCTTAGGTATTCTAAAACCTTTATCTATCTTATTTTCTCGCTTTAGACTGATTTTGTATTATTTCCATTTTCAAGTACTTATCCCGAAAATAAGCTAACTCAGCTAAATAAGAGTATAATTGAAGCAATCTTGAGATGAATCAAAGGAAGGAGTAAAGTGGGAGCAAAAGGAAACAAGTGGTAGAAATTCAGCAAGTTCGATCGATCTCAGGAAATATTCGATCGATCGAAAGTTCATCGATCTAGACATTTTAAGATGGATCTGAGCTCTTTTGTCCTTATCCAAAGATCCCACAAAGTTCGATTGATCCAATTTTCTTCCGATCGATCGAAAAGATTTCATCTTATCCAGTTGTATCACCACACCTACCATTTTTGTCTAGTTCCACAAAATATCTCAGATTTGTCTTTATCCAAAAAGGCGCCGCCATAGAGGATCGATCCAGCTTAAGTTCAATAGATCTCAGCCATGTTCGATCGATCTCACCACAAGTTCGATCGATCGAACTTCCCCAAGTTCAAGAAAATTCAATTTCTAGCTCATTAAAAGTTGTCTCATATCTA